TTGAAATATGCTCATGTTCCCTCGACCACCACTCTTCCCACCCTATTACTCTTCCAATTTATGGGATTTGTGAAAACCTTCAGAGAAAACAATGGTCTTCAATCTATATATGCTCTTGGCACATTGGGTATGATAGGTATGCTGTGTCTGGCAGTACAATTGGCATTCTGAGTGGGCGGAGGTTGCTCCTTACTGTTGTGTGGGCGTGATGGAGTAGGTGAAGAAATGGGGAGAGGAGATGGAGGAGCTCCTTCAATCTTCCCCTTTATTTCTTCTGTAGTGTTTTTCCCATCTTAAAAGCTATGAGAAGTTGTGTGCATAACTTTTTGCCTTGCAAGATAATTTTTGGGTATTCAAGATATGTGCATTTTTCCCCTTTGATCACCCTTGAGCTACAGTAGTATATGATGTTTTGCTGCTTAATTTGTAAAATCATAATTTGACATTTAATAAGCTTTTCCTTAATCCCTCCTTATTGTCCAACATTTTTGCTTATCCAACGTTCTGCCGGCCCGTTTATATTAGATAAGCTGGTTTTTGCAGTCCCCCCACAGATGCTTATAGTGTTTAAGATTGCAGACTTTTGTCCTACCTGCTGCTTCCCATATCTGAGTAGAACACCTTTTTAGATTTAATGTTGAAGATTATTTTTGGCTTGGAGGAAGAAAATGCTTTACCTGACTTCTGCTGTAGCGTGATTCACCTAAGTATATGAAATATGTACATTTAGCCTACAAGTGGAGACTTATGTCATTGAGTCATCTTCAGTGCCGGAAATGTCCCTGCACATAAAAACTTAGCATGTCAGAAATGACAGATCACACATTGCCTTTATCCTGACGTGGTTGTCTTCCAAGTATAGAAAAAAGATTTGTAACAGTTTTTTCGTGTCTGGAGTGACTTGAGAAACTGCAAGTCACTTCTGTTGTGAAAGAATTGGCCGTCTGCAAGGACATTGCCCAGGGGATGCCCGGATGTTTTCATGTTTTACCATCCTTATGGGAGGCTTCTCTCATGTCTCCGCGTGCAAGCTGAAGCTGACAGAGGGAGCTCATCCACTCCCTCCCTGGATATTTGTAACAGTGAAACATTCAGTCACTTTTTTGTATCAAAAGCATTGCATAAATTAGTATAAAACTGATAAAAATAGAAGGAGAGCACAGGGTTTGACTAAAAACAGGCAACAGCAATGGCCTGTTTGACCAAAAACAGGCAACAGCAATAGCGTTGTCTGTAGCCTCCAACAATTCTTCCCCAGTACATGAGGCAGGGCATAGTGGACAAGCATACAGATGTGGAGTTGTCTGTTCTGCTCCGCAGTCACACAAGGTGTGGGATTCTTTTGCCAGATTTTCTTTTGATCTGCCCACTCCACTTCTGAGTCTGTTCAGGGACTTCCAGTTTGCCCATTCTTGGTTTGCCCCTGGAGGAAGACCCTCCCTCGTGGGGGGCCATCCAGTTGGGATTTCCAGGTTTAGCTGCCCAGAAGGATACCCTTGCTGTTGCTGGGGGGATACCAAGAGGAGTTGTAGTTCTCATAAAGCTTTTCCTTGATTTGAGTCTACTGGGAGGAGGCTGGTAGCCATGTAGTGGGTGGCTTTCACAGTGTTCAACCTTATTTCTCTCACATTTAACAGCAACTTCCCATTGCACATTTGGGGGGGGGGCAATGTCAGCTAGCTTGTAGAGTTTATCAACAGGTGTAGGTTTAAGACATCCTGTGATTATTCTGCATGTTTCATTCAATGCTATATTCACCTGCTTTGCATGGACAGACCTTTGCCAAACAGGGCAGGCATACTCGCCAGTTGAGTAAGACAAGGCGAGGGCTGATGTTCTTACAAATTTTGGGTCTGCACTCCATGTGCTGCCAGTAAGTTTCCGCAGGATGTTATTGCGTGCAGCTACTTTGTGCTTGGTGTTCAAGCAGTGTTTCCTATATACTAGTGTTCGATCTAAGGTGACAGCGAGATATTTGGGATGGAAACAATGTTCAAGCTCTTGACTTTCCCAGGTGATTTTCAGTTTCCTGTTGGCTTCACGGTTGCAGAGTTGGAAAGCACACACTTGTGTCTTGACGGGGTTAGGCTTCAGGTGGTTATCTTTGCAGTAGCTGGAGAGATCTTTCAAGGCATTAGTAAGTTGGATTTCATCTGTTTCGAAGTCTTTTGCTTGTGTTGTTAGGCCAAGGTCCTCAGCATATATCAAGCTCTTTGTGAGTGGTGGTTGTGGCTGATAATTAGTAAATTCAGTCACGTGAGTGCCTCCTTGCAATATGATGTGTTATATTTCCGACACTGCATACTTGATCAATGTTGCAAGCAAATACTATGTAATATGAACATACAATGAATGTAGAGACTTTGCATTGACGGAAAGGTGAGTTGAAATTGTTAGAGGCGTCACATCTGCCATCTTTGTTTTATTTTTCTCTTGGCAAGTCGTCTCATTTGCCCACAAAGCTTTGTTCTACTCTGCCTCTTGTTCTGTGATGAAACTTCACTCTGTCTCTTCTTGTGTAGTTTGGTTTACAAGATAGATGTTGGCTCTAAAAGGAGTCCAGCACTCGAAGCATTCCACACTGAAGGAGGAGGAACAGCAAATCAGCTCTTGCTTGGTTTTTCTCTGGAATTGGCAGCCCAAAAGGGATGGAAAATGTTTCTCATCACAGGGCCAAGAGAAGAGCTCAAGGCTTGTTTTCTTAATGAATCATGGGGTTTTTCTTTCCATGTTTGGTGCCTGTTTATGATTGGGCAGCCTTCCAGTATCATTCCCCTTACATTTTGAGTTCATTAGTGGAAATGGCAAAACAGCAAGAGAAACTGATCCTGGAATACAGAGTTCTCTCTCTTTGGTGTCTCCCAGTTGTATGCATAAAATGGGGATAGATTTAGCTAGTTAAGAGGGCTTTTACATTGTTCCTTTGCAGAAGAAAGAGGTTTCACTTGACATAATTCAGCTGGGAATTGAAAGTGAGTTTTGGAATGTTACTTGAATTGTGGTCATGCGTTGATTTATGGAAATCCAGCAATGTGTTTCCTTGAATTTTACCACAACATAGTAATTCTATATCTGACTTAGTGAACGGTGTTTTACACCTAAATTGGGGAATAGGAGAAACATACAGTGGAAAGGGCATGGATGCAGAGAGTTGGCTGGATGGACCAAGACACTCATGTCTGAGCACTGGTTTCCTATTGGTGCTGTTGGGAAAATGGACCATCTTCTGTAATATCTCCTGGTGCAGATGCAATCTAGAAAGCCTTTTGAAAACAATGTGGCATGGCCACCAATCTTTTCTCTTTCTCCCCACAGCTCTTTCGTAAGAGCAGGGTTTATTTCTTGGATTTGGATTTAGAGAAACTTGATTTCAAGGTCGTTCTGAACCATGAATTTATTTATTTATTTACCCTATTTATATCCTACCTTTCTCAACCTTGAAGGGGACACAAGGCAGCTTTACATATCATTAAAAAAATTAAATTAATGCACATTAAAACATTTAAAAACATTGCATTCACTATTTAAATCCGCAATTGTAATCTGGGCCTGTTTCAGTAATTATTACACATATTCCATATATGTTATTGCAAATGGTTATTTTCCAAAGGCTTGATCCCAAAGCCAGGTTTCACTTTCCTGCTGAAGGCCAGGAGGGAGGGGGCAGATCTAATGCCACTGGGAAGAAAGTTCCACAGCTGAGGAGCCACCACTGAGAAGGTCCTGTCTCTCAGCCCCACCAAGTGCACCTGTGAAGGAGGTGGGACCGAAAGCAGGGCCTCCCCAGACGATCTTAATCTTTGAGGTGGTTCATAGGGGAGATACGTTTGGACAGGTAAGCTGGGATGGAACCATTTAGGACAGTGGTTCTCAACTTGTAGGTCCCCAGATGTTTTGGTCTTCAACTCCCAGAAATCCTAACAGCTGGTAAACTGGCTGGGATTTCTGGGAGTTGTAGGCCAAAACACCTGGAGACCCACAGGTTGAGAACCACTGGTTTAGGGCTTTATAGGCAAAAGCCAGCACTTTGAATTGTGTTTGGTAGCAGACCGGCAGCCAGTGGAGCTGACATAGCAAGGGGTTGTATGCTTCTTGTTCACCGCTCTAGTGAGCAACCTGGCTGCTGTCCGTTGGACTATTTTAAGCTTCCGAACAGTCTTCAAAGGCAACCCCATGTAGAGCGTGTTGCAGTGGTCTATTCAAAATGTAACCAGAGCGTGGACTACCATGGCCAAGTCTGACTTCTCAAGTTATGGGCACAGCTGGCGCACAAGTTTTAATTGTGTGAATGCTCCCCCAGAGTTTCCCTGAAGCTCTTAAATATTGTGTTATCTCTCAGTGTGTTACCTCTCAATCTACCTTCCTTCTGTTGATAGTATATTAAAGAAAATTAATTAATTTGGGTTCTTGTAGGTTTTTCGGACTATATGGCCATGTTCTAGAAGCATTCCCTCCTGATGTTTCGCCTGCATCTATGGCAAGCATCCTCACAACCTCTGAGGATGCTTCCCATAGATGCAGGCAAAATGTCAGCGGAGAGAATGCTTCTAGAACATGGCCATATAGCCTGACAAACCTACAAGAACCCAGTGATTCCATCCATGAAAGCCTTCAACAATACATAAATTTCTTTCCTCTTGCCAAAATACAATATGAAAATGAGGAGATTCTTGCATAAGTGATCTGCATATGAAAAGAGAGGACAGTAGGAAAGGGTAGCAGAAGTGGTGGCCTTTCACTGCATAGTCCTTGCAGTTATCTGCTTGTATTTGCTGCAATTTGAGCCTTCAGTAAAGGCAGCAAAATGGGAGGAGCGGGAGGGAATGCTATTGGGGGAACTTGGACAGAGCCTAGGACATGTGAAACGGTACATACCAGTAGTAAAACATAAAGGCCATTTAAAGTATTAGGTTGATGCTACTTGTGAATTTTTAAATTATCTTCTACTGATACTGTGCAGCTGATGGCTATTTACTTGTTTTTTCCCCTTTTCCCTCTAGGGTGGAATTCCAGAACAAGTTCTACACAGGCGCTGGATTCAAGTTTCTCCCATTCTCATTTGACAGCATTTGTGACGGGCGGTTTGATGAATAATCCCCTTAAGACTTAAGTGTTGGACATGTGGCAGTAAATCTTGACTCTCTTCTGCATGTGTGTGTTTGCCTGTGTGATTGTCTGAAATTGTGTAACTCTCCTGATTTAGCCACAATTTGCTACTGTGACAATAATTTGCTTTTATTTAAGTACCTTGATGATGGGAAAAAGGAAATTATGAGGAGTCCATTGGGATAGCATTGTGGTCCTGGTAAGCACTGGAGCAGGATAGTGGCCCTCAGGTTGCATAGACAAGGATGTCTTGAGAAAAGATTGTGGCCTACTGTCAAAGAACACAATCATGGTCATCTCCAGTTATCCTGATCACTGCAGGCATGCTAACAGCTCAGTGTGGTAGCAGAACACAATCTTAAGTTTCTAGTCCTTTTTGTACCTTGGAAATACGTACTTGGGTTCATATACATTTTATGAAAACCTGATTAAATGGAGCTCTGTCTACCCCGTGGTTCTCAACCTGTGGGTCGCCGGATGTTTTGGCCTTCAACTCCCAGAAATCCTAACAGCTGGTAAACTGACTGGGATTTCTGGGAGTTGTAGGCCAAAACACCTAGGAACCCAAAGGTTGAGAACTATTGGTCTCAATAGTTCCCCTTTCCTACACATTTGTCTGCTCTTTGCTCTAAAACTGTATTCCGGATTTCTTCTACATGCCCGAATTCAGTTGGAATCCTAAGGATCAGCGTTTACTCATTCAGGCATGTTGCCCACATTCTTCCCCATACACTCCCCATGGCACCCCCTTTGCTTCCGTGCAATCACTATAGTAAAATTAGCCTTTTAGATTTTTGCAAAGGCATAATCAAAAGAGGCTCCTCACTGACATCCACTACATGTCCCAGTCTTCCACCTCTACTCAGAGCGTTAACTGCTACTCCCTTTCTTTCACACTTGCTCTCATCTTGCAAACTAAATTTTCTCCCCTCTCCCCTTTCTCTGCTTCAAGCAATGTACGTGGGTGGGAATCTTTAGGAAACTTGGACTGAAAGCAAGTAATTCGTTGGGAGTGGTGACCCCAAATAGCCTTGTAACTTGGCAGTGTTGGAATTTGTCCTTCCATAGATGAGAGCAAGCCACTAAGCGAGGGGAAAGAAAGTTTGCTCACTTGATGTGTTGTCTAGCCATAGCCAACCTGTGCTTGACTGAATTGGATTTGCTATTAAGGAAACATTGATTAACACTGCCTCAAAATTTGAACAGCTTGTTTTGTTCCAAGGAAACTCTGGGTCTTTTGCCTCCAGAAAACTCCCACGTAATGCTGGCTTCCATTACTCGACACAGGAAAAAGCTGCCCTTACCACGCCCCAGCTACCAGCAAATAAAAGCTGTTGCATAGCAGCACTTGTGTTATTTAGGAAGGGCTTCCCTTGGAAAATAGAAATCTACTGAGGGCAACCCCTGCCTTCTCTTTGTGCAGAAAGTGGTGTAGTAAAAAGCCTGGGCTTCATATGTCTGTGAAATAAGTATTTATGTGATCCATGGGTGTGTGTGTGTATTGTGTAACACAAATGTGCACTTTTATACAAGTGTCTCAATAGGAGACCTTGGAGCACCTCTATTGAGCACTTAAGACAAGAGTCCAGATCCAATATGGTAACTTCTCAGGAAGGTGCTAGTACATTAATTGCTCTCGAGAAGACATTGAAGTTACAGGTTCTGCTTGTGTGTGTAAGATAATAGAGGACCCTGTCATTATGTTTACCTGTGCTGTCTGGAAAACTGTAGCATGCAATGAAGTTTTGCCTGGCTGTTCTCGTCAGCCAATCACTGTATCTATTAAACAAGTTAATGTACACCTGTAGTATGTCAGTTATGTTCTTGACTGTCTCAGAGGGTGATGGGGAGGGAAAGGGCAGTTCTTAATTCTACAGAGGACCAAAGATGGAGTTCTGAGATCTTTTCTGCTTTTCAGAATCAACTGGATTTGTCATTCTTTTCGCTACTCTCACCATAGGGAGAAGAATAGAGCTGTGCAGAAGTCCTGCCTCCATCTAGTGAAACCATTGGCAGACTATTTCGGCTGCTACACTATTTCTCAACCTGGGGGTCGGGACTCTGGGGGGGGGGCAAGGGGGTATCAAAGGGGTCGCCAAAGAACCACAGAAAACACAGCATTTGCTGTTGGTCATGGCGGTTCTGTGTGGGAAGTTTGGCCCAATTCCATCATTGGTGGGGTTCAAGGGCCTCTGATTGTAGGTGAACTATAAACCCCAGCAACTACAACGTCCAAATGTCAAGATCTGTTTTCCTCAAACTCCACCAGTGTTCACATTAGGGCATATTGAGTATTCATGCCAAGTTTGGTCCAGATCCATCATTGCTTGAATCCACAGTGCTCTCCGGATGTTAGTGAACTACAACTCCAAAATTCAAGGTCAGTGCCCACCAAACCCTTCCAGTATTTTCTGTTGGTCATGGGAGTTCTGTGTGCCAAGTTTGGTTAACCCCATCATTGGTGGAGTTCAGAATGCTCCTTGTTGGTTAACCATAAATCCCAGCAACTACAACTCCCACATGACAAAACCAATCCCCTACCAACCACACCAGTATTCGAATTTGGGCATACCAGGCATTTGTGCCAAATTTGGTCCAGTGAGTGAAAATACATCCTGTATATCAGATATTTACATTATGATTCATTAGTAAAATTACAGTTATGAAGTAGCAATTAGAATAATTTTATGGTTGGGGGGTCACCACAACAAGAGGAACTGTATTAAGGAGTTGCGCCATTAGGAAGGTTGAGAAACACTGAGCTACTACTTTTAGTAGCGACTTCAGTGTCTTTTTAGCAATCAAAAAGACCAAAGAAATTCTGATTCTTAAGAAAGTAAAATTTATAATTTATTTGAAACATTTATATTTCCGCCCTTCTCACCCCGCAGGGGTCTCAGGGTGGAGCATAACATATATACGGCAAACATTCAATGCCAGGACATAAAACCATAAATATATACAAACATTAAAATCACTTATATCCACTTTCAAAACAGTTGCATAAAACCATCTCAGGACACCATTCTATTATTGCCTCATTGCACTACCCCAAAGGCTTGTCCTACAGCCAGGTCTTCACCATCCTTCTGAAGGACAGGAGGGAGGGGCTGATCTAATACTCCCAGGAAGGTAGTTTCATTGCAGGGGGGCAATCACTGAGAAGGACCTGTCTCTCATCCCCGCCAAATGCGCCTGTGATGGTGGCGGGACGAAGAGCAGGGCATCCCCAGAAGATCTTAGTTGTCTTGGTGGTTCATAAAGGGAGATGCGTTCAGACAGGTAAACTGGGCCAGGGCCGTTTAGAACTTTATAGGCCAAAGCCAACACTTTGAATTGTACCTGGTAGCAAACAGGCAGGCAGCGGAGCTGATGTAACACGGGAGTTGTGGGCTCTTTGTATGCTGTCCCAGTTGTTAACCTGGCTGCTTCTCGTTGGACTATTTGAAACTTCCGAACAGTTTTCAAAGGCAACCCCATGTAGAAAGCATTGCAGTAGTCTATCCTGGATGTAACAAGAGCGTAGACCACCATGGTAAAGTCTGGCTTCCCAAGGTATGGGCGCACAAGTTTTAATTGTGCGAAAGCCTCCTAAGTCACCACTACAACCTGAGGTTCCAGGCTCAGCGATGAGTCCAGGAGGACTCGCAAGCTGCGAACCTGTGCCTTCAAGGAGAGTGCAACCCCATCCAGCATAGGCTGTAACCCTATACCCTGTTTGGCCTTGAAACTGACCAGGAGAACCTCTGTCTTGTCAGGATTCAACTTCAGTCTGTTTGCCCCCATCCAGACCATCACAGTAGCGAGGCACCGGTTCATGACCTGGACAGCCTCCTTAGCACCTGGTTGAAAGGAGTAATAGGTTTTGACGATATCTGCATACAGATGGCATCAAACTCCAAAACTTTGGATGATCTCACCCAACGGCTTCATGTAGATGTTAGACAGCATGGGGGACAATACCGAGAACTGCGGGACCCCACAGAACAATGGCTGCGGGGCCGAGCAGGCGTTCCCCAACAACGCCTTCTGCGTATGATCCCCCAGGAAGGACTGGAGCCACTAAACAACAGAGGACCCACAGTTAAATTTTGAAACACCCTCCTTACTCTAATCCCCCAACTTTGTAGGGAGGGCATAAGTGCACATAGTTCTTTTGGTGTCTCAACATTTCCAAAGGTTATTAATAGGGGGAGGAAGTTGATGTTGTACTCTCTATGAAGCCTAAGTTCCTTAGGGTTCTTCCTCAGAATCTGACTTAGGGACACCTTGATAACTCTAGATGAACACCACCTCCCGCTATTCAGGTGGGTATCTAGTATGCCAAAAGCTAGTACATTAGTTGGAGAATTATTTGTTGGGTGTCACTTTCTTGCTGAAAGGGTGGTTCATGTTCCTTCATATTGGCAGCTAAATCTTCTCTGTCAAATCCCCCCCTCCCCTATTAAATCCAAATCCTCCTCCCCCTCTCCATCCCTCCATCTTCAGCCTAACAAGAGGCTACTCCCTCCCCTCCCTTCCCCATACCAATTGGATCATTTGCTAATAGAAAAACATAAGTAAGTAGATGATCTGATTTCTTGTAAGTGCCTCTATGTGATTAAGAAAGAGGCACAGTGTTCGACCCATCATATCACCAAGGTGTGGAAATTCAACATTCAGCAATGTTCCAATGTCTTGCCCAGTGACAATTTTTTGTTTCCTTTAAATTCCTGCACCGATATTAACTAGTTCTGCCATTTTTCACAGTCCCTGGTTGTTTACCAAAAAGTTCGCCAGCCTCTCAAGCATTGCAGTCTTTGGAAAAAATCCAGTGTTTGTTCCCTTCTTCATTAGGGAGATGAAAGACATGCCCAGGACCTTTTGTGGCATAGTAGCTCAGGAAAATTTGTCTTAACAGCTTGTGATTTCTTACTGGGGAACAGGAAGTTCCTTTTGTTTCTCAGAGGGCTGCCCAGTCTTTCCTGCCTCTGTTATTGCTGTCTTTCACTTGCAAGCGGTAATATGAACCAATAACGACAATATTTTCTGCTTTGCTTGCTGGGAAATCTCTTCTTCTGCGTTTGTATAGTTCTAATAGTTCTGATTCCCAACCCCCAGTTGCTTGTGGTGGTGAGCCTTCGGGGCAAATGCCAGTTTTGTTGAATAGTGCCTATAACTTCCTTGCTATCATAAATGCCTTCTTAAGGAGAATGCTTTGGGGATCTGTACGTATTCCAGATTTTATTCCCTCTCTGGGGAGGGAGAGCTTTTTATGAGGTAATGAAATCGTAGAAAAAGGGTGGCATAATAAAATGGGTAGATTTCTGAAACAGGTAGATTGCTCCCCTTTGCATGCATGTACTGAACTGAATGCCACCTAACAAAAAAAATCCTTACTGATTCCCTTGAGTATTACTTTCCCCCTCTTTTTTCCTTTATCCCACTAGCTGTGGGGGGAAAAAAGCTACTGTTGTTGATCTAAAAGTGCTTTTGTGTGTGTGGTTATTGATGAGAGCACAAGTGTTTGTCCTAAATACCAGCATTGGGCTAGCACCCCAATCCATAGATCTTTTTTCCATGACAGCATTGTGTGTGTTCCCAAGAAAGACGATACCAGGGAAACCAGAAGATTACTGCATGAATTTCCCATGAAAGTAATGTGATACTCAAAATCATCCACATAGGGAATGAAAAATGCAGGAAGAGGCACTAAAGATCATATTTCAAACATATATGGAGTGTACCTAAGAATTTTAAACCAGTGATTCCTGACCTTTTTTTTTTTTACCAGGGACCACTTTAACTAGGGACCACTCTCCAACATTAGTACCAAAAGGGTTACGAATCAATTTTAGTCAACTTTAGATTTGGTTTGGTTATTTGGGGTGCTGATTCATTTGCTGGAGAACATCCACTCTAGTTTCTGATACATAACATATGCCATCCAGTAGTAGCCATTAGGCCTGTCGGTTTTGATTCGTTATTTCGTTATTTCGTTAATGTTTTGTTATTTTTACCATTTACGGAACGATATCAAAACATATTTTTAAACCCGGAAGGGTTTTTAAATATCGAAACGGCAACTCCAAGAGTATTTACGAGCTTTCGCCCGTTTTGTAATACTAAATGGGGCGGGCGGGGCGAAGGGGCGGCGCGAGCGCGCACCCAGTGAGCGGCTCCGCCTCCTGCGCCCTCCTCCTCCTCCTCCTCCTCCTCCCAGCAGAGCCGATTGGATGGCGCGCGCGCGCTCACCCTTACAACCGGCCTCCGGCTCCTCCTCCTCCTCCCCCTCCTCCCAGCTGTGTTGCAGGAAGTGACAGCCAGGAGGAGGAGGAGGAGGAGGAGGGCACAGGAGCCGGAGGCCGGTTGTAAGGGTAAAATCGGCTCTGCCTCCTGCGCCCTCCTCCTCCTCCTCCTCCTCCTCCCCGCTGGTTGAGGAGGAGGAGGAGGAGGAGGAAAGGGGAGAGGCGCCTTAAAGAGACACCCGGCCCCCGCGCGCCATCCAACCGGCTCCGGCTCCTGCGCCCCCCCCCTCCTCCTCCTCCTCCTGGCACTTCCTGCAACACAGCGGGGAGGAGGAGGAGGAGGAGGAGGGCGCAGGAGCCGGAGCCGATTTGATGGCGCGCGGAGGCTGGGCCGGGCTCCTTCTCTCTGCCCTCCTCCTCCTCCTCCTCCTCCGGCTGTCACTTCCTGCAACACAGCTGGGAGGAGGAGGAGGAAGGAGGAGGAGGGCGCAGGAGGCGAGCGTTTCCACAACCGGCCTCGGCTCCTGCGCCCTTCCTATCCTCTCCTCCTACCAGCTGTGTTTGCAGGGAAGTG